TTGGTCTTTCCCTCTAGTCCAGGAGTAACATCCGTCACCTTGCAAGAAAAGAAACATAGATGAGTTACAGTCTAAGGCAGGTACCTAAAGTATATGGTAAACTGTGGCACAGTCAGCAAAGGAGGAAATAGCACTGGCCAACTCATCAAAAAGGAACACCATCAAAAGCCTTTCTCCTGCATAGGGCCTTTTCTCTGCTGTTGTTCAGAGCTGGCTGCACTCCTGCCTGCCCTGTAGTTAGTTACAAACTCCCATTTGTAGTACAATCTTTGAAATCAGGGATATGTTGGTGATACCAACAGGCCCAGGTTCCAGGTCTGGAAATTCAGAGGTGTGACATGCCCTTCCCTGTGCTCATGTGAGAGCAGACCACCCTCTGAAAAACAGGGGCAAGGAGAAGGTGGGCACATGTGCTTCCCACGCTTCCTTTTCTCTCTGTTGTGAACTGCCCCCAAAAAGGCACAGCAACGTCACAAGAGATTTGCCTCCCTGGAGCTCCATCCAGAAGAGGTTCCTCTCAGCCATGCACCTTGGCACTGGAGGTGCTGTGGGAGTAGATGAAGCCTGATTTATCAAACAATAAACACAGCAGGCAAAGCATATATGTTTAGCTAACAGGCTCCACTGATACTATGAGACTGTGAATGAAAATAAAAGCTAGAAACAATCTTCTTCCATGTTTGAGTACACGAAGGGCAGAAACACTACCTCCCCAGCTCAAACAAAATTAAAGGGCAGATAAGAAGGCATTGAGGCTTGTTTCAGAGTTCTTTGTGGAACCATTTGCTCTTGTATTGAGTACAAATCTACCCAGCTTGCAGTAGAAAAGGACTCTATGCCCATGAGCTATGGTCTTTATGTCCAGCCTGCATCTTTTATACCCATGCAGAACTGCTCATCTGTTTTATTTAGATCTCACTCATGTCTCAGAATACTGTGGCATTAATAAATGAATGTAGAACGCAGGGGATTGCTTTAAACTCATGAATTCTGATTAAATTGATAGCAAGGGGATGATGGAAGAGTCCAGCCTGCATCTTTTATACCCATGCAGAACTGCTCATCTGTTTTATTTAGATCTCACTCATGTCTCAGAATACTGTGGCATTAATAAATGAATGTAGAACGCAGGGGATTGCTTTAAACTCATGAATTCTGATTAAATTGATAGCAAGGGGATGAGAGTCTCAAAGGACCATTCTTACACTGCACACACAGTAAAAGTTCAGATCCATCTATATGGCAATTAGACAGAAAACCAGATTGCAATGACTAAGTATTTGAAATAACTTTGAATGAAACAATAATCTTAGAACAATAACACTCAGCTTTGCTCGTACATCTAGTCTGCCAGCTGAAGCTCTACCAGTTTCTTCCTTTGGCATCTACTTCAGTCTCTGGTCTTGAAACTTTCACCGGAGTGTTGATGTCAGGTCAGCATCCTTAAAGAAATAATCCAAAGATATATAAAGCCTGAGATAATTAAGGCAGTTACCTTCTATCTTCTGGACTCTTGCCCAGCAGTGCTCTCAAAGGGGACTTTGAGGTGTTTCACATGCCCCATGCATCAGCCAAACAAAAATCACAACTACTACTCCCACTTTCCCATCCCACTTGTGAGCTCCTCTTCAACATACAGCTAAACAGGCCACCCTGTACCTTGCAGACACACACAACTGTTTCTGGATTTAATTACCAAGGTTTAACCCTCCAAAACAATGTTTGAATCATCAAGAACCTGCAGCCTTCTGTGAACACCATCAAGCTAAAAGAACAGGTTCCCCATATGATAAAATGCTCTTTCAATAAATAGCAGGTGGTTTGACCAGAAGCCTGATTTGGAAATAACAATCTGCAGACCTGGGAGCAGTGTCCTGGATACCAAAGGAATCCCTAACCCTCTTGCCCTTTTCTGGAGTCAAACCTCTGGAAAACAACAAATATTTAATCTTCATCCCCAAAATATACACTGCTTCCAAGAGCTGATGGAAAGGATGTGTGAATTACACCATTCACTGAGATCTACCAGAGGAGCAGGTGGGCAGCACCAATTCCCCCTCATCTTGTATTTTATTCAGCTCCCGGCACAAACTACTCTCCAGCATCTGCAGGGCACTCAGCAAGTGGTCACAGCTCTTTTTACACCGCCATGGTGTGAAAGGGTTATTTTATTTTGGGTTATGAACTTTTTAGGAATGGGACAGTCTCCTCTGATGAGGTTTGGAAAAGGCCCAGAAGAAAAAGATCTCCGAACCATCGCAGCTATTCAAATTGCTACAATTTTTCACAGGCCTTGCAGAATTCAAGTTTCTTTGGAAGTGTTGGTAACATAGATCTGCTCACCCCCTTTATCTAGGCATTCATCTCTTTCTCCCTCCCTCCAGCAATCACACATAAGGTGAGTCATCACCTGAAGAGGCTGAATGCTGATGCCAAAGGGAATTTCTCCACTGGAAAAAAACCATTCTGTTACTGTTTCTTTATTAGCATGAAGCATGGACCAATGCCTTGGCCATGCAGCAGCCCGAGCATATGAATGCACAAAAGGAAATGTATCTCTTCTGTAGGAAAACTAGCAAGGCCACTTTATTTCTGTTTTGCTTTTGGATGAAGAAAAAAGACAGAGCATTTTAATTTCTGCATTATCTTTATTTCTACATCACAGGTTTGTTGCACTCAAAGCTTAGGAGAGGCAAGATGAGTTTAACATTGAGTTTTGTTCCAGTTGGAGAACATGGTACCACCACAAAAACATGCAAAGAAGCCATTTCCATACAGTACAATTGTCAAGATCCAGCCTAATTGGCTTTTTCACAGATTTTAATGCCCAAAATGCTTGGAATTCCTGCATTGGCACATTCATTAGCATTCGTTAATGCTAAAAGAAACAAGAAAATAAAGATATTAGCAGTGACAAGATCCCCATATCCAGCAAGTCTGTTAAATGCACAAATTTCAATCCCTAGTCATGGTTGTATTGGAGGCTCCTGTTGGTCTCAGTGGATGCTGTGTAAAACTTCAGTGATGTAACTCAAAGGGGGAAATGTCTGAACAGCTTTCAATGACCTTTATGGCCCTCCTTTCCCTTAGGTACAGCAGGCAGCGTGCTGGCACACAGTAGATGCCTTGCGGGCCCATTGGGGCACAAGCTGCGTACAGCTGGTATACAGTGGCTTCCTCAGACAAGAGGCAAACCACTCTGGAATATCTGTTCTAGATATTTAGATGCCTAACAATGAAAAGCAGTGCTTCCCTGGATTTTCCAAAGCGCCCTGGAGCCTTACCCTTTCCATCCTCCTAAGTACTTTACTTCTCCTCTCTCAAACCAGTAAATATATTACAACATCACAGGTGAACTTAATGCTTAAAAGACAGAAAGGAGCTTATGCACTGTACTGGAAGCACAACGTTCTGATCTTGTGACTTACGTTGGGTATCTGCAAGCTGGTAGAGAGGCAGAGCTGTGCAGAGTTGTTCAATGGGTTTACCATAGACAATCCAGTCCTTGTCACTCCCATGCGCAGATTTGCCAGATTGATACTGCAACCACAGATTCTTTTGAGAGCGGACTGTGTTCATATTATTCATATTCTGAAAAGAAAATGTTAGACATCATCAGTAACATAGATCTGGTTTCATTCTACTAAGACATCCTTTGAGAAAATCCCAAAGCGAAATGTCACCTTCCTTTACCCCACACAAAGCATTGGCTACAGAAACTACATCTTTTTAAAGAAAATAAAGATTTTCAATCTATTCAAAGTTCACTAGATACTAATTTTGCCAACACAGCAAAATTGAGCTGGTTTACTACCATAATAAGCTTTGTTAACGTGCAGTCAATTTTGCTGAAGACACCCTACTGTTAGGCTGCCAGAAACTGGTCCAGAACACAAGTCCATCTCCAGCCAAGACTTCCAGCCACCTTCAGGAAACTTTTGCCCGAAACAGAAAAGTCAAAGTCTGCTCAAAGGAAATGGATTGCTAAATTCTGGTCTGCAAACAGAATTATTTCAAGTTATGTGAAGCTCAACACATCAGCAGGACAATGAAAAAAGAAAAAGCCTGCCTGAACTCATATTGCAATCACCCCAAACCAGTCAAATTCCAGCACTTCAAGGACACATGATTGTCCATTATAAAACCACAGGGTGGAGTCATGATTCCTCATTATCTTACAATAATGTTCTGTAGGAATTTCCCTTGAAGTTCTGTCTTGTCAGATCTGCTTCATCATTGCTAACACAGTAAAAGACATTCCTAAGAACAGCCCTTCTTAAAGGCAGGTTGGAGGGCTCCCGTCACACCATGCAACTCCTGCACAGTGGCCTTTCTTGTACACTGGACAGATTTCTTGCAGTCACCTGTTTCTCAAGAGCCAGGCGTTGGATTTCCTGCAGATCTGGGATGTATTCCTTATTTCTCTTCATGATAAAGCAGGCATTTCGTGAGAATAATCTTATCGCAATATATCCCTGTGATTAGAAAAACCATAGTTAATTAGTTAATTAGTTAATTGAAAATGGCCACCACAAATATTAGTTGGTTCTCCCTACAATTTTTAGGACAACCTAGAAGCAACACCAAGTGGCTACACAGGCCACTACTGCAGAATGACTCTGGCACTGTCCCCTTTGGGGAATGGGAGCAGCCTGCCCACACTAGTGTCTGTCCATCGGACTGGAAGGATTTTTTATGACAAACTTCTGTGACACGTGCTATACGGGAGCAATGGCTGCCCATTCTCAACTCTGACCTCGCTGAGAATGTCAATGACTTTCTGTTCACTTTCATCAGCCACCACCATGGGTTTCATTACAAGTCTTTGAAACTGCACCATTGAAGCAATGATATGGGTGAAACAAAGCGGAGGAAAAGTGATGTGAGTCTTCAAAGAAACAGCCTTTCACTACAACTCATGGTGATATACATTAAAACAATTTCCAAGTTTAAAAACTTCCTCAGAGATTAAGTCTTGGCAGATTCTTAGATTTACTTACACGCGCATAGTCAATGATGGTATCAGAGGAGTACACGCCAGAACGGACATGGACAAGAACAACGCGCTTGTCAGTGTCAATAGTCATAGTTCCAGCGACGTAGTCATTTTGAGGATCTAGCAGGGAAAAGCTCTACAGGTAAAAAAAAAATAATCATTGTTCATTATCTGGCTGGCACCAGGTGCAATATAAAGAAATGCTTTCTCTCAAATAAACAAGCGTGATTGCTTTTTGTGAACTCTAAATCCCTTAACAGCTCCCTCACAGGTCCAGGAGGCCCTTGGGGTGGAGATAAACCATGCAAGAATGAGTCAGGCTGAGAAAGGAGGGGACAGGCCCTCACTTCAGCCCAAGGAATTCATTACAAGTCTTTGAAACTGCACCATTGAAGCAATGATATGGGTGAAACAAAGAGGAGGAAAAGTGATGTGAGTCTTCAAAGAAACAGCCTTTCACTACAACTCATGGTGATATACATTAAAACAATTTCCAAGTTTAAAAACTTCCTCAGAGATTAAGTCTTGGCATTTACTTACACGCGCGTAGTCAATGATGGTATCAGAGGAGTACAGTCCAGAACGCACATGAATTTCAATAACGTGGTGCTCCTTGTCGATAGTTATAGTTACAGGGGCATTGCCAGGTTCTTGCAGGGCAAAGGTCTATGGTAAAAAACACAAAATCAACGTTTATCAACTGCAATATAAAGAAATGCTTTCTTCCATATAAACAAGCATGATTGCTTTTTGTGAACTCTAAATCCCTTAACAGCTCCCTCACAGGTCCAGGAGGCCCTTGGGGTGGAGATAAACCATGCAAGAATGAGTCAGGCTGAGAAAGGAGGGGACAGGCCCTCACTTCAGCCCAAGGAAAAACAATGTGGGCACCCCAGTCATTATGTCTGGCAGCAGGGACTGGCAGCAGATGGCAACAGGCTCTGGATTTTAGCTTGAGCTCTGGGGACCTAAGCCCTCCCAAATTCCTTGTTACTATGCAGGTGCACACAGCTGCCGCTTTGGCTGATGCTGCTTCTGTGATCTCCTTCCTACTCTATTCACCCCTTGCCCAGGAATCTCATGCATTTCCAAGGAGTACCTGCACTACCAGACTCCTCAGCCTACTCACCTCCAACGCAGAGCTCTGAGTCCAAAAGACTCCCAGCAAAACGAGGACGGCAGCCTGTGAAAGGAATAAGCATTCTCACTCAGCAGAAACACCAGGCAGTGCCATAAAAGCCCCCAAACAGTTCCTGAACTGAGGGAAGCAGCTGTAGCATCAGTCTGAAAAATGATCCACTTAACACGTGTATTAGCTGAAAACAAATTATAGCTCTTTGTTGTAAAATTCTTGCATTTAGGCTCTCTTTTGGCTGTAACTGAAAAAGCAGAACAAGAATTTAAGCATTGCATACACAGATCCATAGATGGTTATTATAATCCCACAACCATAACGATATGCAGATCATATTAGTCCCAGTACTGTACCACTTACTCCAGCATCATCTTCTCTATCCCTTTGCTTTTAAAAATAAGGAACTTTTTGTAATACAAGTTCAATAAAAATGGATATACTTACAAGTCTGTTCATTTTTCTTTCAGATAAGAACAAGAGGCTGCAGAAGGTAAGAATGCAAGAAAATTACAGAGACCTTCAACTTTTATATTGTGCTGGAGGTGTGGGAACACGTGATTGAACTTTTCTTCGTGACCCGAACAGTCCATATCTATGTGCCACACTGTGGTAAGCCTCATATCTGAATTTTGGGTTGGCACAGATAACCTGACCTCGATAGGTTAAAAGTACTAAGTCAGTTTTTGAAAAATCAATCATTCTATTGAAAAATCAATCACTCTAAATGGCTATTATTTATTGGCTTACACCCATGAGGAGTTCACACTCTTGTTGCTTCCATTTTTTAAATACTTAACAGGGTATTGTCCAGAATTAAATGTCATCAGGAATAAGTCTGCTATTCATTCATACAAACTGCATTTTGTCTTCCAAAATATAATCTCTAACAGCCTGACAGTCTGCAGACAAATCCTGGAAAGAAATATCTATGTTATGCTGGGCTAAGTGCCAGCCACTGGACAGACCGATTCTTCAGCCATTTCTTCTACCTAATACATTCATAAAACCCTAATAAGATGGGCTGCTCTGGTTTGATTGCTTACTGACATAACTAGGAATAACAACTGTGCTTCACAAGACAATTTGGGTAAATGCCAGCCTCCCCTGCATACAAAGCAGTGGCACGTTCTCCAGAGGATGTGTGCATCACACAAGGTCACAAAACAAAAAGAGCAGGATGGCCATTCCTTCTTTAAAGCCTCCACTGCTTTCTGGATTTTATGACAATGTCAGTGACAGCATGATATTGCCATGAGCAGTATTCTCCAGGGACTATGACCTTGCCTGGGCTCCTCATCAGTGACTCCACATCAGCCAATGCTGGTATCTTGGTGAATCCCACTCTACCTTCTACCCCAAAGTCATAATGGAGCCCCTTTCCCATCTCATAAAACAAGAACTCAACCTAATAGACAACACATTGCTGTAATCTCAGTCATCAGAAAAAAGGGTGAAAGATTCTGTAGTAATCTCTTCCAGCAAACAGGCCTCAATGAGAAAAGGAGATTGCATGCATTTGCTTTATTCCACCTAACTCCACACGGAAAATGTTATCCCAAGTGTAACAACACTGTGCTGCTAAGCAAAATATAAGAATACAGATATCAAATTGTGACAAGTGCTGTTAGATTAGACTAATTTGATTAGAATGGTGTTACCCTCCCCCCCTTGAAAACTCGTTCTGTCCCTTCTTCTCAACAGATTCTTTGTTTCTAACATTACAGATATGTCAGAAATACTCAGAGTAGGTTTAAATAGTCAAATAAGCCTTTCATAGCAGGAAACTAAAAGGGTTCAGGCAGCACAAGCTAAAACAAAAAGGTTTCCTAAGTTTTAAATGCTTTTAAACTAAAGTTTGAATTAACTTTCTATTAGTCATTATGTCTTTGCATGTTCAGTTCTTGTGAAAAACACCCAGGAAGCACAAGCTCCTGCTTTCCTGAGCACCAATGTGCTTAGGCCCACGTAAGAGCAGAACAACATGTGAAATCAGTCATTTGCTGAAGGAGAATTACAACAATAGCCACAAACTCATGAGTTTCACCTTTAATTACATAACAACTCAGTAATTTCTCTGATTAGAACCAACTTCATGATTTCTGGGAACAGACCTAACATATTTAACACAGCAAGATTACCACCTTCGTTGATTGAAAAGATGGTGTCAGCTACGGATAGAATATGAGGCCAAGTCCTTTGCCACATATGTACAAAGTGTTGCTACAATTTCTAGGCATCTATTTTCTGGTTCTGATTTTTTTTCGTCATTTAAAGCTTGGTATAATACACATTTAAGTTACCATAACAAGATTTCTTTCATCTTCCCGTGTGTAATGAACTCAATCAAGCTGGTATCAAAGCCTCCTCTTATCAGAGCACTTCCCTATGAAATCTGTCATGATTCTGTGAACACAAAGCATGTGCCATTAAGTTAAATGCATTCAGAGGCAGGAGATCTCCTGTGAGGATGCTCAAATCCCATCTCTGCTCTGTTCCGAGTACAGAGCTGTCCTGTGCACCCACAGTCTAACTCTTCTCAATAGCTGCACACACACAGGGATGTTGCTCCACATCTGAAATTGCATGCTCAGCTGGAAAAGTTCACTCTCTGAACCAAGATATTTCAGACCATTTTTTTCCAACTATTTTACTGCACTGGGGCTGGACATATTTTAAAACCGAATGTGTTTGTGATTTTCATACCTATGCAAAGTATACTACTGAGGTTAAGAGTAATTTATACAAATTGATGATCTGATGTAAGCTGTTTAAGAAAAAATATTCTGCATATTTAAATACTTTTCAGAAAAGCGCTAAAAGAACAAAAAGTTAAATTGGAAGTCAAAAACTTTTTAAGACAGGACATAGCTTGATGCAAGATAAGCAATCACAATATTAGAGTGCTGTGAAGTTTGGATTGTGATTGCTTCTCTTCTTGGAATTTTCCTGGCTCTAGCTCTTGCCAAAAGATTAAGTACAGAGCTACACGAACTAGACACTGCTGACATAAGAACTAGTGTCTTTAGCTGCAGCCTCTGAAAAACATGTTTCAGAAAAACAAGCTGTGTTTAAAAGCTGACACGTAGCAGGAAACTGCATTTGTCTTAAAAGAAAGACCATATTTCAGTCCTTGATATATGAAGAGAAAAGGACAGTTCCTACATACAAAATTGACAAAGCCTGTCTTGAGATTAGCATGAACACTTGTGAAAGAGAGTGTGGGGACAGAAACAGTGAAATACTCCAAGTAAATCTCTGCCTGCAGTTCCTGCTGGGGAAAGAACGATAAGGAACTATTTTACTTCTCCTAGAAATTTTTCTTGCAAGCTTGATGCTGAACATCCCGTAATGTGAAAGTGTGTCTGTCTGCCTAAGGTGGATGCTTCAGACACATGAAAACCAGGGCGAGATAAAGCCTGAATGTAAGGCTTGACACAACACTGATGGCTTCCCAGCCTCCCCTCTAAGGCCAGAAGGCAGCTCCCCTTTAAGCAGATCTCCAAGAGCAAACATTTCCCCAGACCTGGTCACTGCAGCCACTGCTTTATTGAGCCAAATCCACAAAGCCAAACCCTCATTTCCTTTCCTCTTTCTCAAAAATCAGAACGGCAAGAACAACTTGCAGGGGCACCATGGTGAGCGCTCGCACCGCTCTCTCACTGACACCGGGGTCAGCACCCACTCAAAGGAGGGCTTGGAGGACTGGAAATCTGTCTGGGACGACACAACTGTAAGTGGGCACCACCATGGCTCAAAAAAAATGGGGAAATGACCAAAAGCCTTTGGAAAAACACCTAAGCTTCAACAAAATTTAACAACATTCTACAGGAGATGCTGAAGAATGGTCCCATTTCACTACTGTATGGTTTCTGCTGCACTGATGCTCTTGGCAGTGGATTCCTTCCCCTGACCCAAGCACTACAGCGTATCATACACGTGGCGTTACTGGAGAAGGCAGTTTACCTTTTCCCAAAGTCTCTCCTCAGCCTCCATGACACGTTCACCTAGACAACATACATGAAAAAAACAATATTTTCCTTCCCTATCGTTATTTGGACTGGAGAAAGCCTTTTTTTCTAACCAGGGCTTCTCTCTGGCAATCTGCTTATCTTCCACTGCATATTGCTTGCAACAAAAAGCTTTTTTTTATTTCAACAGGGCTACGTAGCAACCAAGGTATTTTCAAAACACACCTGCATCATTTCTAACATGGACAAGAGGTTTTGGCCTGATAAACCCTTTCCTGCACCACGTCAAGCACACCAGGTAGGACAGTGAAGGACAGTGCTGAGAGGGCAAATCATTTGCCTGGGAGAAGCACTCGCTCCTGGCCCACAGAGAGGAGAAAGGGCTCCAAGAACCGATGACCAGTTTCTCAGCAGGGCTTTGGTTTCTCTGAATGTTGTTTTCTGGGATTGCCTCTTTGATGCTTAGGGACCTAACTGGTTGCGAATGTAGTTAAATCCAGTTGGCGGCCAGTCATGAGAGTGTCCCCCAGGCCTCAGTGTTAGGGCCAGTTCTCTTTAACATCATTATCAATGATCTGGACGGGGGGATTGAGTGCACCCTCCGTAAGTTTGCAGATGACACAAAGCTGGGTGGGAGTATCAACCTGCTGGAGGGTATCAAGGCTTTGCAGAGGTATCTGGACAGGCTGGATCTATGGGCCAAGGTCAACGAGATGAGGTTCAACAAGCCCAAGTGCCAGGTCCTGCCCTTGGGTCACAACAACCCCCTGCAGCGCTCCAGGCTGGGGGCAGAGTGGCTGGAGCTGCCTGGCAGAAAAGGACCTGGGGGTGTTGGTCGCCTGTCGGCTGAACATGAGCCAGCAGTGTGCCCAGGTGGCCAAGAAGGCCAACAGCATCCTGGCCTGTATCAGGAACAGCATGGTGAGTAGGACTTGGGAGGTGAGGGTCCCCCTGTACTGGGCACTGGGGAGGCCCCACCTCAAGGGCTGCATCCAGTTTTGGGCCCCTTCCCACAAAAAAGACATTGAGGTGCTGGAGCGGGTCCAGAGAAGGGCAACAGAACTGGTGGAGGGTCTGGAGCACAAGTCTTGTGAGGAACAGCTGAGGGAGCTGGGGGTGTTCAGCCTGGAGAAAATGAGGCTGAGGGGAGACCTTCTCCAACTCCCTGAAAGGAGGATGTAGCCAGGGAGGGTCGGTCTCTTCTCCCAAGGAACAGGCGATGGGACAAGAGGAAATGGCCTTGAGTTGCACCAGGGCAGGCTCAGATTGGATATTAGGCAAAATTTTTACCTTGAAAGGGTTATTATGACTTGGAATGGGCTGCCTGGGGAAGTGGTTGAGACATCAACCCTGGAGCTATATAAAAGATGGGTTGATATAGTGCTTAGAGACATGGTTTAGTGATGTTTTTTTTATCAGAGTTATGTTGGTGGTTGGACTCGATGATCTTAAAGGTCCCTTCCAACCCAGACAATTCTATGACTCTATGATTCTATGACCTAGTCCTCACAAAATTCCACCCAGAATGAACTGCTTCATTATCTCAAGGAACATACTCCAAAGCTTGTGCCCGTACAGAAAATGCATTCAAGCTCTGTGTAGTTGCAATGCAATGTGGCCAAGTACAAAGAGACACATGCACTATTGCTCTCATCAACCCAGAAATCAAGTTGCAAGTAACACAATTAATAAGTGCATTAAATCTTTGGAGTTGAATACAGATCGTACTTGTCTGAAAAATGTTCAACACAGGAAGCAAAAAAGCAAACCCTCACCAATCAAAAGCACAGTTGACCAGATCAAAGAATCAAACCAGAGATAGGACAAACCTAAGGCAAAATGGCTGGGACTAGTTCCTTTATCTCAAGACATTCACATCAGTTACTCCATCTGTTTGGAAAGTACCAGACCTTGACCTTCCCTCCTGGCTCAGAGGCCCTGTTGTTGGAGTTTGAAAGGAGTTGCTCCAAAGGACACTTTTACCCCTTCAGGAACAGTCAAAAGTCACTCTAAAGAAAGGACGCAGCAGCCTCTTCTATTCAGGAAAACGGTTCTGGGGTCTTGAGTAGCTTCCTGACATTGAAACCAAAGCAAAACCGCACCCGAAACCAGGTGAGCCCCTCAAAGAAAAGCAGCCATATGCTGACCGTATTCCAAGTTCCTGCCCAACTTGCCTGGCACTTTCTGGAGAGAATCTCTGCTCCTTTTCAACATTACACAGCATTTTCCCTGTGACCAAAGATGTATTTGAATACCCCCACCTACTCAGGACAAATTCAGGATGCTGATAAAACCCAAAATGTGAGGGATTTAAAAAAACCAAACACCTTAAAAAGCTATGTTCTCACTTGAGATACCGACAGCTGGTCCAACGCCAGTCTTCTGGGAAACAAAATACTTCAGCAACTTTAAAATCAAAAAGCTGGAGTGGCCTAAAGGCCCAGGCTCTGCGCCGCCGCCTCAGCAGGGTTTTCCCGCCCTTTTGCTTCCTTCCCCCGCCTCAGAGCCCTCACGCCCGCTCCTCAGCACAAGGGGGCAATTCCTGTCAGGCCACCAAGGAGTTTTCTGCACGTTTCTTTTCAGTTTGGGTTTGTGTGGCGCACAGGCCGACATTTTTCACAGAAATCCATGCAAGTTTGTACAGAGCCAGGAATATAACCAGCGTTTGGCATAACGGTATGTATCAAAAGTGTCCCTTTGGACTTGGAGACTCAACTCAGTGCACCTGAGACCAGATGCAATTTAATACTGCACTTGCAGCACTGCTCAGGAGTGATTTTTATCTATTGAAACACCCTCCTTTTCTTAATAATGTGCTGGATTCCAGTTGAAAAGTAATTTTGCAATCTTTACCCACCACAGACTCGGGGTGCACACAGAAAGAAAAGACCAACTTGACACAAAGACCAAGTACTCAAAAACCTCCCTAACCGAACGGTCACTCCTTTCAGTAAGTATTTGTGTCGCCACAGCAAAGCAGCTGAGGCAAGGAGAGGAAAAAAGGTTCTTGCCACCTAAAAGAACAAAGGGACACCCACAGACCCGCAGGTGTATGTCCCATTTCAGCTTGAACTGACGATTTATTGTAAAACAATTTTCAGTGGCAATGGGGTATTTGCGCCAAATATTTTGGTGGGCCCTATGGTTACATGGTAACATACAGTACATTTGGGAAAGTACACAGGCTCTTATTTATTTTGTATTTTGTCTACCATAAAGCTTTTCTTTTAAACCGCAGGCTACCTCTGGTCTGAAGTTTGAGGTGAATTTTCAAAAGCAATTAGTACATGTCAGAAGGTTGCTAGCAAGCATGATTAATTTTTCATGGCAAATGGATTCTTATCCGATAATCATCAGACTCTGGAAGGTCAAATTTTGCAAAGTACAATCCCCGTATTTATGAAGTAGTTCCAGCAGGAAATACTTTTCAGTGACAGGCGGACAGGGATGCAAATGACAAAATAATTTTATGGCAACACTTAACCGTTCCACACCTCATTCTGAAAACGTATATAAGGTGGAGGGTTCGCCTTGTTCGTTCTACCTGCACCAGCATCAGCTCTGCAGTCAAGATGAAACTCACTGTGAGTACGCGTGCTTTTTTCTCCTTAGAAACTAAAACTTTCACTCAAAAGCATTGCCTTTCTCTCTCAGAAGTGCCTATGTCTGTCTGTAGCAAAAAGGGGTTCTCTGGGGAGATTTTCCTCCTCCAGAGTGAGCAGTTCAGACCCTACTGACCTAATCAGATGGAGAGGTAAGGATTCTTTTAAAGGCTTAGCTAGCCATTGTTCCAGGTGCAGGAAGCCTGATCCATGTCCATTTTTGTCAATGCTCTTGCAAAACCGGAGCATTGCACTGATGGATCAACCACTTCCTTGCAATGCCGAGCTAGAAGACACTTACATTCCTTCTCCCCGTCCTTGTAAAGGATCTGTATGTGACTCTAGAGGTCTCAGAAGGAGCTTCAGATTTGGCTCTTAAAGAAGTAACCTCCTACGTGTCTGGTTTGCATTATTCTAGCATAAAGCAAGGATGACTCACTTTAGGTGACAGGTGTAGTTCCAATAGGAAAGCAAAAACGGATCCAAGGAGTACACTCCAACACCAGATTGGGAAAAAGGCACTGGTTTTCTCACAGCCAGATTTGTCAGCCAGGTCTGCAGTTACAGTTGTGTTTTTGATTTTCATTTCAGATTGTTGCTACCGTCCTTCTTGGACTCTTGCTGACTCCATCCCTTGCTGAATACGTGAGTATAGGGACCACGTTACGCACATGTTGCTGCTGTTTCTGGATTCCCTCCTTTCTGAATTCTCCTTGCTTCTTTCCCCATCCCTTTGGACAACAGGAATCTAAAGCTTCCTGCATAAAACTCTAAAAGCACCAGGAGACGGTTGTAAGACACAGAAATTATTCATTGAATCTATTACAAAGATTCTTTTGGCTACTGCAGAATGCCACAGCCCTATTCTGTTGTCATTTTGAGAAGACGGTGGTCAGTAGAGGCACTCCCTGGGGGCAGCATTCATGCTCTTGTTCATTCAGCAATTTTCTGAAACTCTGGGGAGATAACTGAGTCTAACTTGAAAGTCTGAGAGTGTTCTTTAATTTTGTTCTCTAGTTGCAGCAAACGGGTGGAAATGACCAGATCATTGGTGGTCAGATAATAGGTGGAGGTGACTTTGTGGGTGGAACCCAGCAAATCATAACCAAGCAATTCACCGTTGTTGGAGGCTTCCAAATCCTGACCATCAACAAGGCCTGGCGCGTGGCAACCATCGAGCAAAGGAGCAGCCAGGGATCATGGAAAACCATTTGGAACTACAACCGGGTGAGTGGCGAGGAGCGTGCGTTTTCAGAAAATGTACCAGGTGCCCAGCTCTACTAAAGCTGAGCAAAATACAGGACTTGTTTCTTTCTCCTTACCACTTGGAGACCAAGTGTTGGGGTCAAAACTACCTGCATTTATTACTTTTTAATAGACAGATGTTATTCCAATCTCCATGATTGAAAAACCGAGTCCCTTATTGTCAATAACTTTATTTTGCAGGGCTACATCGCAAGCAGAGTGCAGTCAACAGGAACCTGCTACGTTTCCGTAATGAACAGAAATGTGATACCTCGCTTTGATTCCCTCATCTTCCAGGCTGAGCAGAACATGGTAAGGTGAAAAAGGAGCCGTTACTTGCAAAGTTGTACGGCCATGCAAGTAAACGGATGTCAGAAACACTGTCATTTTGAAAAGCCTTTAAACCAACACCTAATTTACAAGCCATTTAGATCACACCGTTGATTATGAAGTTTCATATTGATTGTGATGGTTGGACTCGATGATCTCAAAGGTGCCTTCTGACCTAGACAATTCTGTGATTGTGTGAAGCATTGGAGGAGGGTTGTCCTGGTTTTTTCTGAGGCCGTAGATCACGTAGATGATTTTTATAATGTTTTAAAAGGCTATTTAGATGGACTGCTTTTTAACACTCTTCCATGCTTGAAGATTTTAGATATTTGGCATGGTACTCTTCATCATCTCACAGACTTTGAAGGCTGATGATCCCATAGATTTTTGGGCACGTCTAGTTGAGGAAGAACATATAATCCAGTAATGAGAGAAAAAGTTTAAATAAGCTTTTAAGCTTTCCAAACTTTTTGAAAAAGAACTAAGCACCCTACAAGCCCACAGAATTAGCACCGACATCTTAAAACTGATCTTGGCATTCAGCTTACTAACCTTTTGTAGATACTGCCTTCTCTGGAAGTCTGAGCGCGGAGTCCTTCTAAAACTCCTGCCTATGTGTGTCTTTACCCTGGAGTTCTTCAAGCTGTTTCGTAACTGTGCTTTTTCTCTCTTGAGAGGATGAGATTTTCACAAGTGGCAGGATTTGGTTATTCTGAACAGTCCCGTGGCTTCAGAATTTGCCGTGGGAATGGTTTTCAAAAGAAAGAGAGTAGGTGCAGCAACTCCCCCCTTCTCCCAGCTACGTTTTCTCTGAGGCAGTTTATCTCCGTGGGTTGCTAAGAAACAGTCAGAAACCTTCAATGGCTTTAATTATTTTTGGATAGTAATAGCTATAAATAGTTCTGAGAGATTTCAATACAAAATGGCATTTTTCATTTTGGAACATTGCTTTGCAGGTGCTATTGTTCAGGCCTCCATTTTTGTTTAGCATTGCAATTAGCTTTAGTGTGACTGTTTTGTGCCCAATGTTGCTACTGCCCTCCTTGGTTCCTGTTTGAGATGGCTGAACAAAGAGACTTCCAAGTTACAGTCCTAGCACAGGCACTCGCATGGCATTGAAGGGGTTGAGGCACTGATCTTGCTGAATGATGTTCTTTGATGTTTAGGGCCTGAAAGGTCAAGGACAACTTACAAAGGAGATCACATACGTCGTCCAGAGCCCCGTCCGTGACCTCACCTCTTACGGAACAGACATCGTCGCTATGTGCAGAGGACTCACCACCTACCTGACTTACGAAGTTTACGGTGAGTGCGAGCAAATGAATTGTGTCTGTAGCCAACCAGGCATTTCTTCCCCTTGGGGAATAACACACAAATGCTGCTCTTCCAACTGGAGACGGGCACAAATCAAGAACCTGGGGAGCTGCGGAAAGGGTGCAGTGTCTCTGCAGATTAGCATTGGAACAGGCTAGAGTCACAACCTCCATAAATGATCTCCTCCAAACCCTTCCCACTCCTGTCAGTAAAGTTTAAGGAGGCTTAAGCTTTGCCCAGAATGTTGCAGATCGACCTCCCCTCTAGTGCCAAGGTAAAGAAAAAAGGTGGTCCTAAGAACCCCTGTCCTTCCGTTCAGAGATTGCCCATAAGTTTAAGGGGGAATCCCACCAAACACTGAGGTTTGACAATACTAAGGCCTCGATTGGTTGGACTCAATGCTCTCAAAGGTCCCTTCCAACCATGAAGATTCTGTGATTCTGTAAGGCAAGTGGTTTCATTCCCGGTGGGTTTGTCAGAGGTTTGTCTATTACAGTGATTATTAAAACCATTGCTCGCTCAGAGCAATAAAATGCAGTCTTGTAGAAGGCCAGCCATGGCTATGGAGACCAGTAGAAATCAGCTGCCTTGCTGTGGGTGCCATGTTCATATCCTGATCATGTGCAATGGAATTGCCTGTATGGAGGGGACCAAAAGAACTTCTGTTAAAATGCATGGAAAGGAACCAGGTTTGACTCGGAGGAGTTAATCCTGAAGCACCAGCAAAGTGCTGTGAGCCTCACTGCAAGCTGATTGCCTGCACACCCTGTCATGAGAAAGTGCTCCTCAGATCAGGCATAGGATGTTGCACCCTGACACAGCACCTGCTGGCTGTGTGCTTTGCTAATTGCTTTGGTACTTGAGACAGCTCAGTTTGATTCCAGATGCAAGTGCAATGTGCCGGGTATTATGGGCTGCCAATGAATGCAAAGACCACTTTGCACCATCCTAGGTATGACCTCATGGTACTTATTTTTTTCCTTTTCTTGTTTTTAAAGGATCACATAATACATACAATTATGGAACATGCACTGTACTTGATGTCCTGAGACTTGTGGACCTCAGGTATTGTCTGTCAGATAACAAGGGCGTGAAGCAAGGCTTTCAACCTTTCTAAGCCAAGCACGGACGCTCGAGAGCTGCTGCACAAAGCCAACCCCAGTGCTGTTCTTCCCTGGCATCTCCTCTCTTGAGAGATTCCTTCTTGACGCTTCAGATGCTGAAACCGATCAATTGGCAACCGTACCTTTCAATTAAAGACCTTTAGCATGGATTAACTCTGGCTGCTTTCTTATTATTATACCCCTTTGTCTTCTATGAGTGCATCCAGAAGAATAGTCTGGCTGCGTTTCTTCTGCCCCTTGTCAACCCTTTGAACGCTCGTTTACAAGACTGCTCTGATCGCAGGGCACACCCATAGAGGTGGGCAGGTGCCAGAGCAAGATACTCCCCAATCCTCCAGTGGACACCCGAACTCACATTTCTTACCGGGTCAAGCCACTGTCTTAGAGAAGAATCACAACTTCAGAGAGAAAGAAGCCAGTCCCAAACATTTCATCATTTCCTCTGTTCTAATAAAAAAGGCAGGACGCCCTGGGTCATCCAGGTGAACACAAATCAGAGTTTAAGAAGAACCAGCCACGTAACGCCTTGTTTCTCTTGCCCTCTCGCTCATCCCCAGAGGCTTTCTTCTGTAGCAGTTTCAGATACTGAGTTCCCATTGGCACATCTCGGGCAAAAGCATCTGAATTATCTGGACTAGTGCACATCAGTACTAGCAGAGGAGAGAGGCAGACAGTGGTTTATTGCTGCTAACCTTCCTTTTTGGCATTACACAAGTTCTTTTAATTCCTTCACACAGCTTCAGTTCACATTTTGCTCAGGCTGAGGCTGAATAAGGCAAAGATGCAGGAATTAAAGTCCAGGAGGGATTTGCACTTTTTTTTTAGTCATTATATGGTACCCTAACAAAATCACTGTCATCTTAGACTTGATTGTTTCAGGATTCATGCACTGTAGTGTCTCCAAGGGGTTCATTACTGCTGTCTAAATACGTGGTCAAATCAAACAGGCTCCTAAGGAAAATACTGAGTTTGCATTCTTGTGAGTGCCAGGGGACTGAGAATCTGGACACCTGTGCTGTGCTTTGGACATGGTCACTCGAGCAGGCAGAGTTTCACGCTCACATTGTTAGAAAATACTTTTTAACTGAGGGCTTTCATTTAAGGAGGGAGGTCAAACTCAGCCACTCGATTATCAGAAATGCTGAAAACCAGAAGCCCCTAAGCATTTCCTCCACATTTGCTCTAAATGCAGGACCAGCAGGAACCAGGCTGATCTTCATTGTGTAAATTAACTAAGGGAGAACGATACCACTAATGAAAGCTGTCCCTTTGAGTAGACAGGGCTGTATTTTGTCCAGCTCTATGTGAATGTTAAAAATCAACTTGCACAGTTGCTGCAAGGACGCTCTAGCCCTGGCAAAGTGCTTGGAAGTGCTTCAAGTAAAGGCAAAGCAAGGGAATACCCATGGAATACTGCACAGAGGAGGGAAGGCTGTTGAGAAGTGCACAGCCCGACTTCCTGCAGCACTAACCGCGGGGCACAATAGCCTGTCTAAGTGCACCCCCTTTCCTGGGCTCTAAACACCAGGAAGAGGATGCAATAGAGCCCCACAGGTTGCAGCAGAGGCAAATAGAATCAAAGCAGGGCAAAGTCAAATGAAAGCAAGAGACAAGGGAGTTATTCATCCCTTGAAGAATTAGAGCAATCTTGGGGAAGAAAAAAGCCTTCTGGGCCACAGGGTGTCAGCCTTGAGTTACTCGGGGTCTAATTGACACGAAAAAGCAACAACTCCTACACCAGCTGAAGACACGGCCAGGGAATGTAAGGACATGCCTACGCCGACGACAGGGAAGAAATTCCTGTGCAGTGATCAATACATTAGTCACATCTGGAATATCCATGCAGGCTGCTGGAACAGCTTCCTGAAGTGCCTTGAAAACTGGGGAACCTGACTTTGAGGTCTTGACAGAAGCCATTACCCAGCACACAGGTCAGACTTTTATAAGGGTGTAGATGATAAAACAAGAAAATCTGGTGATACCACTTCTGCCTCATTTTGTAAATTCTATTCACACCACAAGGGCATCATTTTGAGCTTAAATAACTATTGAACTCCTGTATGCAATTTAAACACCTTACTTCTTGTCTGTCTGACACAAAGAACACAACACACCCAGTCTCTCCAAGAACTGTTAGGATTATGTGGGAAGCAAAAACGCCTCTGCACAGTGCTGCATGGCCGCCGTGAGCAAACACTGCTCTGTTCGTTCCTAAAGCTGCTCTGGTGCGCATTTAGTGTCTCATTCGCCACATGAATGAGATGCTTAAAACCAGTCAGGCCAGTCAGCTTGAGTTTTCGCCACAAGGTGGCATTCT